GTTGTTAAAACAGCCCAATATCTTCCCCTCAAGGGTTTCCCCTAATTATCAGTGATCATCAGGTTCCAAAAGTCAGCTTGTCTTCACCTCATTCTCTATCAAAGAGGGAGATGTTAATTGCATTATCGCCTTGCCAACACTCTCTGAAATGATGGCAGTGATCATTAACAGCCTACCATGGAGCCAATCAGAGTCAACCCAAATTCAGAACCAGCCAGTGGAGTACTTCCTAATCCCACGTGTGTGTAAACACTAAAAACATAAAAACACAAGGCAGCCATCGTGGAGAATGGGGTGCTAGGGGTGATGAAGACGAGATCTGCCATCAACTCCATGAAATAACCCACTGATTAATACACATACACACACACACACACACACACACGAACCAGTGAAAAACCAGAAGATCCCCACAAGTCTTATGATTTTTTTTCCCCCAGCTCTCTGTATCCCACACCAAGCTAATCAACTAGCAAAGAAATTCACAGTAATGTCAAGTTGTCTGGTTTTGTTTAATGAAGAACCTCCCCAAGAATGCTGTCAGCATGCCGCCTTTCGCAGATAAATAAATATTTATGGTTCCTTGCATGTTAGTTTCGGCAGAGACCAAGACCAAAAATAATTTGCCCTTGTTCACTCGACTTCCTTTCTTAACTGTACAAAGTGAGGCTGTGGTTTTCCTAAGCGTATTCTTGTTCATGGCTCACCGAAGAAGATGCCTTTTGGACTGACCTAGGATCCAACTATCAAAATCCTGCTCACAACTACTCAAGGGCTGGATCAAACCCCAAACCCCTGCATCTCCTTTCTCAACCCCATCCAAACAGAGATGAGTCGTTGAACAGTTGATATCTTTCTGCTGTGAAAAACACTTTCAAAGACTTAATCCTCAAGAGAAAAGTAGGTAAATAATCAAACAATGCATGAGAGAAGAAATATACATACACAAGAGATATATGGAAATATATTCAACCTCCACCATAAAAGAAATTCCAATTTTAAATATTTTGATCTATCAAACAAACAGCTTTGCAGAAACTATCCCTTATTTGGAAATCTAGGCTGTCACTCTCCCACAAAGCTCACAGAGCCCACCTTACCTGGGGGACAAATATTTCAAGATAAAGAGGTCTCACTACATAAGACTTTCTTTTCTAGGATTTCACCTTAAAGATATCCAGAAGGCACCCAGTGATCAATGGTAAAAAAAAAAAAAATATTGGCCACCACTTCACTGGTAATGTGAAAAAATCAGAAGCAACTCAATGTTTGCCAAGAAGGAAATGGTTAAACAATATGATGCATTTGTCAAGAGACAAAACTGCAATTGATCCTTGAACGACATGGATTTGAATTTCTTGGGTCCACTTATATTCAGATTTTCTTCCACCTCTGCCATCCAAGACAGCAAGACCAACCCCTCCTCTTCCTCTTCCTCCTCAGCCTACTGAATGGGAAGATGATGAGGATGAAAACCTTTGTGATAATCTATTTCCGCTTACTGAACAGCAAATGTATTTTCTTTTCCCTATGACTTTTTAAATAACTTTTTTCTCTAGCTTACTTTATTGTAGGCAAACAATATGCAATACATATAACACTAAAAATGTGTATTAAGTGACCGTTTATGTTATTGGAAGAAGTCCAGTCAGCAGTAGGTATTAGCAGCTAAGTTTTGGGGAAGTCAAAATTTTACGTAGAGTTTCAAATGCACAGTGGGTGGAGAAGACAGGGCATCCCTAACCCCCGAGGTATTCAAGATACCATGGCACAACAAATGAGTTTAAAGCTCTCAATTGCCTTTATTTGCAATTCCAGAATCAGGCAACACTTCATTTCAAAACGCAGGATGAGTAATCCAGTGAGCCCTGCAGAATTTCATTTTATAGACGGAGAAGGCTGAAGAAAGCAGAAACGAAGAACAAAGACAGGATTCATTACTTTTAGACAGAAAAATAGAAAAATAACTGATTCCTTCACATCAGGTTACTTCAGGCTTCCTTTTTTTGTGTGAGGATTAAAGCAGAGAACTTCATTATCATGCGGACTGAGGGTTGAAACAGACCTGTTTGGGAAAGTGGTTGTTATCTCTCTCCCGATTTCGGAGAAGGTCAGATAACAACTGAGTCTAGTTTTGGTGACTGGGAACTGAAACAGATCCAACAGTTCCATAGACAGTCCTTTCAGATAAACATAGATACTAACTCTTCTGCTCTTAAAGCTTGAAACTTGCATTTGTTCTTTGTTTTTAAAATTTTATTTTACTTTAAGTTCCAGGATACAGGTGCAGAATGTGTGCGTTTGTTACATAAGTAAATGTGTTCATGGTGTTTGCAGCACCTACCAACCCATCACCTCGGTATTAACCCCACTTGCCTTAGATATTTGTCCTGATGCTCTCCCTCCCCTTTCCCCCCAAACAGGTCCCGGTGTGTGCTGTTCCTCTCCTTTTGTCCATATGTTCTCATTGTTCAGCTCCTCTTATAGGTGAGAACATGCAGTGTTTCACTTTCTGTTCCTGCGTTAGTTTGCTGAGGACCATGGCTTCCAGCTTCATCCATGTCCCAGCAAAGGACATGATCTTATTCCTTTTTATGACTGCATAGTATTCCATGGTGTATATGTACCATGTTTTCTTTATCCGGTCTATCACTGATGGGCATTTGGGTTGGTTTCATGTCTTTGCTATTCACAGCTATTGTGAATAGTGCTGCAAGGAACATACACACGCATGTATGTTTGTAATAGAATGATTTCTATTCCTTTGGGTTAATACCCAGTCATGGGATTGCTGGGTCAAATGGTATTTCTGGTCATTTATTTTATCTGAATTCCTTCCTCAGGAAAATACTCCCAGACCTCTCAAAAAGTCTGAAAGAAGTGAAACTGACCAGATCACCACATCCAGACAAGGAGATGCCAGACCAGACCCCTCACTCATCATGATTGGTTGGTCACCATTCCCTAGTTCCTGTTTTCCAACACATGTTACATTTCTTCCCTGCTGTGTAAGCCCCTAATTTTAGACAGTCAGGGAGAGAGATTTGAGACCAACCTCTCATCTCCACGACTGCAGCACCCGATTAAAGCCTTCTCCCTGGGCATTAATCGTTGTCTCAGTAACTGGCTTTCTGTGTGGTGAGAAGCAGGGCCTAGGCAGAACCCCTGGTGTTTCAGTAACAGCATGCTAGCATGGGGAACTCCATTTTGATTTTTAATCTGGTCTGTTGAAGCCTAGTGCAGAAGCTTAGTCGAAAACAGTAGCCTCCTGTAACTTTTATTTAACACATCTGTAAAATCCAACTCGGTGAATTCTTAAAGTCGAACCAGAAAAAAGTCTGAAAACCATCAAGGACATAGAAAATGTTTACAATATGTTAAGGGGGAGGGGAAAAAAGGACAGGATATAAAAACTATATGTAGAGTTGAATCCCAATTTTGAAAAAATAATAAGACATCTAAATGCCCACAGGCCTGTAAAGAAATGCATAAAAAATTTAACAAGGTTTATCTCTGGATAGCAGGATTATAGGCAGTTTTTATTTTCTGCTTGAAACTTCCCTGTATTTCCAAATGCTCAAAAATAAATTTGTATTACTCCTATATTCAAAAAGCAATGTTTTGCTTTTGTTCTTTACAGGCTCTGAACCCCCCACAGCACTTGCTGTCGGAATGACTTACTGCAAAGCACATGCTACCTCCAGCTCTGCAAGAACTCATTCTGGCTTCTGCTTCTGGCTCAGCCTTCTCCTGAAGACAAGGAATCAAGGAATCAAGGCTGCTCCTCCCTTCCTCCTCACTCAAGGTCTATGGGCTCAGTTCTCCTCCTCCTCCTCCTCTTCCTCCTCCTCCTCCTTCTTCCTCTTCCTCTTCTTCTTCAGATCTAAGGGAGTACATGTGCAGATTTGTTACATTGGTATATTGTATGATGCTGAGGTTTGGGGTACAAGTGATTCTGTCACCCAGGTAGTGAGCATAGTACCCAATAGCCTTTACTCCCTCACTCCCCACTAGTAATCCCCAGTTGTCTGTTTTCCATCTTTGTGTCCATGAGTACCCAGTGTTCAGCTCCCACTTATATGTGAAAATATGCAGTAGTTGCTTTTTTGTTTCTGTGTTAATTTGCTTAGAATAATGGCCTCGACCTGCATCCATGTTGCTGCAAAGGACAGGATTTCATTCTTTTTTTATGACTGTGTAGTATTTCACGGTGTAAATGTGCCACATTTGCTTTATCCAGCCCACTGCAGATGGGCACCTGGGCTGGTTCTATGTCGCTGCTATTGTGAATAGCACCGCAGTGAACATACATGAGCAGGTTCCTCTTTTTAGTTCAGTTCTTTATTTTTGATGTTTGCCCTCAGTTGCCCACACTTTGGCCACTTAGCTCATATCAACAAACCCCAGACAAGGTGCCATGTTTCTGAGGAATTAGAGGGCAGGAATAGGGAAAGGAAGAAAGAGGAAGTGAGAGGTGTGAGAAAGTCTCCTTGGCATGCTAGAAAGTTAGCTATAGACTCAGCTTGGACGCACGTTTCATTTACAGAAATTTCTTTTTGGGGGGGTTACATATCCAGCTTTATTTTTTACAATAATCTTTTTTATTTGTATAAATGTATGGAGTACAAGTGCAATCACGTTACACGCATAGATCGTACAGTGGTGAAGTTAGGGCTTTACAGGATCCATCACCTAAATAACAGACATTGCATCCAATGAGTAATTTCTCATCATCCATCTCCCATCCGCCCCACTTGCTTCTGAGTCTCCATCATCTACCATTCCACACTCTACATCCAAGTGTATACATTATTTAGCTCCCACATATCAGTGAGAACATGCAATATTTGTTCTTCTGTTTCTGGTTTATCTCACTTAAGATAATGACCTCCAATCCCATCTATGTTGCTGCAAAAGACATGATTTCATTCTTTTTCATGGCTTGATAGTATTCCATTGTGTACATATACCACATTTTCTCTACCCATTTGTTGATGAACACTTAGTTTGAACAGTACTGGAATAAACATACAAGTGCATGTATCTTTTTTATATAATAATTTTTTTTACAGAAATTTCTTGCTAGTTAGTTGTCATAAGATTGAGGAATGGGGGGATGCTGTGGCCTCCAGTCTCATCTGTGAGCCTCTGCCTTGGGTGGCCTGCAAAAGAAGATGGGGATTTTCAGGCCAGGCAAAGTGGCTTACAACTGTAATCCTAGCATTTTGAGAGGCTGAGGTGGGTGGATCAACTGAAGTCAGGAGTTCAAGACCAGCCTGGCCAACATGGTGAAACTCTGTCTCTACTAAAAGTATAAAAATTAGCCAGGTATGGTAACAGGCACCTGTAATCCTAGCTACTCAGGAAGTCAAGGCAGGAGAATCACTTGAACCCAGGAGGAGCCAAGATTGCACCAATGCACTCTAGCCTGGGGAGACAGAGCAAGACTTTGTCTCAAAAAAAAAAAAGAAAAAGAAGAATATTTTCTTCTTTCCATTGAGATCTCAGCTCCCAGGTGGCCTGATAATCACGTCACCAAACTAAGGGTGATTCCAGCAATGGACAGAGATACAGAACTCTGTTGTGACACTGCTGTAAAATGAGCTATTTTGACTTAGGGTCATTCTCTCACACAATACTTTCCCAACATGCTGGCAAGAGAACAGTGGCTTTTTTTCTGGTTTTACCTTGCACACTGCCTTGGATCCTACCCCTGAGTTCCCTGTGAATGTGCCATTTTGTTTGACTTTGAAGTGTGTACTTTCCCCATCCTGTCAGTTTCCTGGGAGGATGGTCAGTGCCCCTCATACCCTGCCCCTCCCTCACACATTTCCTGCCACTCTCCCACCCTGGCCAGCTGTGGGAGCATGTCCCAAACAGTGGGGGGGGAGGGGG